CGGGCACACATTCTTTGTAAAGCACACATGCAGAGAAGCACACAGGGTCAAGCGCCTTCCCAAACTCCCGCTGTACGCATGCATCATGTTCCGGTTCATTTGTAGTTGGCCTCTGTTGACCTTTAACACCCAATTGTAAACACAACATCGTTGATCGATATTTCTCTTTCGCTTGTTCTCATTGCGTCTCTCTCTTTAACACACTGTGCCTCAGCATTCATAATAACCATTATATATCTAGAAAAGCTTCTGTATAAACAGTGTGTGTTTGTAAATAAGTAAACAAGTGTATTTGTATATTAATTTATAAACTCAGGAGGACAAAATACAATGCACTATATTTAATACCGAAAACATTTTTAGGGATTAAAACTTGTGTCCAGTATTTATTTATTTATTTATTTATTTATTTATTTATTTATTTATTTATTTATTTTATCTAAGTATATTATATTATATGATATTATGTTATATAATGTTATGTTATGTATAATAAATTAAATTATATTTTACTATATTATTCATTCGTTAATTTTCTTGTCGTCTTAGTCCCTTTATTAATCCGGGATCACCACAGCGGAATGAACCGCCAACTTATCCAGCAAATTTTTACACAGCGTTTGCCCTTCCAGCCAGAACCCTTCTCTGGGAAGCATCCACACACACATTCACATACACACACACTCATACACTACGGACAATTTAGCCTACCCAATTCACCTGTACCACATGTCTTTGGACTGTGGGGGAAACCGGAGCACCCGGAGGAAACCCACGCAAAGGCAGCGAGAAAATGCAAACTCCACACAGAAACGCCAACTGAGCCGAGGTTTATATATTATATTATATTATATTATATTATATTATATTATATTATATTATATTATATTATATTATATTATATTATATTATAATTTATTTTCAAAGTTGATATGTCATTCAGAGTAGATATTTCAGAGTTTTCTCATATTAAGAGATAGAGTCCTCAAAACTACTTTTCCAACCTCTATCTAGTCATTTGTGCACATCCCAAAATCAATTTCTCATTCTTTTGCACAAATTGATAATGATGCTGGTGCATTTATGCAATTGATTATGAACAATCGCCTGCTGTTTCCTACATTATCAATTATGTATGCCATTGTAATCACAATGTATTGTACTAAATCTATGTTGAATAGTCTTACTCTTCCCCTAACCCACATAAAACATCTAGGCAATAGTTAGTCTTTAAATGCATATGGTTGAACTTATAAATCTTCAGCTGGCAAGCAGATGTAAATAGAGCACAACACACTGTAAAAAAATGGTGGGTTCCACACAATTACTTCATGTTGTACCAATACGAATTAAGTTAATTAGTTTTAAGATTAAGATTACCGTTTTTTAGAAAGCTAAGTAGATTGAATGTAAAACAATTAAGCTGTATCACCAAAACACACTAAATATTTGTTTTAACTCATTTTAAATAAGTAGTTTTAACAAGCAGCAAAAGTCATTTTATTTATGCACAGTGTTACAAGTTCTTTTAGTTTCTAACAAGGAACCAAATTGGTCAAGTACATAAACATGCTATTATATCATTATGACTTAATTCCTCCTTATTAGTTTGTTTGTATAATGTATAGAGTTATTAGCAACCCGAGATCTCTAATAGTTCATGTATATATTTAGTCTGTATTAGGGGTGTCAAAATAAATTGTTTCTCCAGTGCAACGCGATGCAGACTGGTATCAGTTCAGTGATAGATCCTAACCAGTTATAATGCACTGACATCATGATATTCCCTAGTTAAAAAAATAATAAAATAAAATAAATAAATTAAACATTTTTTGCGATAAAAATAACAGATTTTATGGAAGTAACTCAATATTCTACCAAAAAATATATATATATGTATTTCGCGACTAGGCAATTGCAAAAAAATAGGGGGTCTGTCATATACGCTATATCACATTAGTTTACTATGGCGAGGGAGGTGAGTGCAAGTAATTAAAATGTTCCAACTACTTAAAAAACCCAGAAACTGTGCACAAATCACTTCATGAGAATTTGCTGGACAGTTTTTTTCTGACACTGAAGTTACAGCAGAAGCCCCTATTGTACTGCTGTGGAGAAAATGAAAGCTGTAAACTCCATCTCTCTAAAAAAACGTTTATTTTTTTAAAGGCTGAAAAACAGTGGCGATTCGTTTGGAGCTGTGTCCACTAGATCCTTTTAGTGGTGCACCCAGCTTATAAACTTCTCCAGAAACTTAACCTGCATGATGGAAGCTTTCAGCTGTGTTGACAGTGTCGGCAGGAAGGTTTTCCCCCGGGACACCAACAACAGGCACTACGTTATAATCACGCCCTCAAAGAGCAAACTCCTGATTGGTTAAAGCGGCGCGAAAGTCCACTGAAGTTCAGATTTTCAAACTCAAGTGATTTGTGCGAAACACGCGTTATGAGAAGAAAGATCGCTTGATTGCTGCTGCCGTTTATCAGTGTCACTCATTGGA